GTTTAGAAATAGAAATCCTAGGACCTGTACAAATATGCATGAGTAAGGATTAATGAACTATTATATAAGTTGCCATTCAATTGATTTGAATAAAAAACAGCCTGTGTTTTTTTGGTTTTGTTTTTGTTTTTTTCATGCAAGCAATATTTTTTGCATAAGCAAATATATACACTTGGAGCTCTGTCAGTCCCCAGCAAATTCCAATGTGGTCTTTTGTGAGATTGTAGAGTGCTCTGCCAAGTGTACTTTCAGATAAATTGTCTGAGCAGATAAATTGTCTGAGCCAGAGGTTCTCCCCAGCCTGGATTTTCCTGTGCTCTATTCTGTACTTTGCTCATCGAGCCATACCTTTCTGTTCAGTAGGAAGTACATTTTCACCATATCAATATATCAAAAGTCATCAAATTGTGACACAAAGCATATGTCTATCTAAAAGAAAAAAGTGAATTCAGAAGAACTCATATCTGCACTGATGCTTCTTTGAAGTGCATAAAAGCATAAACCATGACAATAGTAAGCAACATATAACAACCTAGAATCTTGTACCAAGCCAGTTTAACATACATTTCATCTATCCTTAATGCTAAGAACTGTTTACAGAAACCGTATTTGGTTAAGTTACTTTTTATTGTCATCAGTAGATAATGTCAGTCAGATGGCTCTGAATCTGCAGAAGGCATTACTTTTACTAAGGCTTCACTGAAATTAAATTTGGAATTTGAATCAATGCCCAGGAATGATGTCAGCTATAGCAGATTAAATTTGCTAAGGTCTCTTCATTTTAAATGTGTTTTTAAAACAAAGCAGATAATTCTTCCAGGCTTTGGCCTTTTAATGTTTTAGCCTTTGTTTGAACTGAATAGACCATAATATTTTGGGTTATTGAACATTACATTTTAAATGTATTTTGTATTGCCTTTGCATACAAAAACATGGATTTCATAGATGCATATATTTGAACAGTAATTTGTAAGTAGCAAGACATTCAATATTTTATCTGTCTTTTGCATGCTGTCATAATTGTGCTTTTATATTTTGAAGGAATAAGTGAAAGGAAAAGCAGAGAAATAATTACTGATGTGAGGATTGTCTTGTACTTATCTTCAGAAATCAATATACAAAATGCTTCTTCAAATATTTAGTACTGAAGACAGTATATAAGACATAGGAAAATGCTTAAATAATTCAATTTTCTGTCTCTGAAAGAATTGTGTATTAGATATGCCTGGTCAGGATTTTGTGTTGTTGTAACAAGATAACTCTGCCTTTGTTCCACCCGGTGATATGTTTATGGTCTGAAGCCTGAAAATTGCTAGCCTTTTTATTTTTATCTGACGTTACATTAATAGCAGCTGTCATTATTATTTATACCTTAATGTTATAATTGAATCAATGGCATCCTGCAGCAATGAATCCTGCAGGTAAATTATATAGTCTATATCCTGCTATTGAAGAGAAATGTGAAGTGTGCAGATTTCAAGTACTTTAAAATAACTTTTAAGTAATTGGAAATACAAAGTGCCAGCTTGCAGCAGTGCAGAGTACAGCTTTGCCAATGTAGCTTTATCCACAGTGGCACTCCTTTGCTCCATCTTAGACTCCCAGAACCCTGGTTTTAGTTGATAGGGACCTCTGCAAGTCAAGCAGTGAAAGCCTAGATCAAGGTACTCAGGGTCTTGTCTAGACCAGCCTGGAACCTCCTAGGACGGAGCTTCCACAGCCCCACTTCCAGCTCTCAAGCACCCTCATGGTAAAAATTCTTTTAAAAATATTGGAATTTCTCATTTTCCCCCTAGCACCATAATTCTTTGTTTCTTTTTGCCTCCATTCTGTTGACATGCACCTCGGAGATGAGTCTAGCTCCATCTCTGTTTCCTTTGGCTGGGTAGCTGTAAGCAGCAATAAGGTCTCCCTTAAGACTTCTCCAGGCTGAGCTCTCAAGTTGGAGGCTGAGTTCTCTTGGCCTCTGCTCATACATCATGTGCTCCAGAGCCCTGGTGGTCCTTTGCTGGACTTATGTCAGTATGTCAATGTCTTTCTTATTCCAAAGAACCCAAACCTGGACATGATTCTCCAGGTGTGGTCTGACAAATGTCAGCTAAGGGCTCAGCAACTGTGAAAAGGCATGGGAAATATTTGTAATTCTTAGGAGGAGAACTGACAACAATTCAACAATGATATGCTATTCTGTAAATCTGCAGCGTTCTCACATATTAATTTTTGTACGGATAGCATGAAACTGTGAGTGGGATGGAGAATGTGAACAGGAAATAATTATCTAATGTTCTTGTAATGGAAGAATTTAGGGATAGCATGCATAGCATGTGTTACACTTAAAACATATACATGACAATGTATTTTCTGTAATGTGTTACTGAAGTGTACAGCAAAATTGCCCCAGGATGTTGTAGAAAATAATGAATAAATGATTTCAAGAGAGCTTTAAGGGAATTCATATTGAATGAATCTAGCCATGGCCAGGAGATGCACTATCAAATGCAATCCCTGGCTCAAAAAGTCCCTTGTTTGGGAAAGTGCTGGAGCAGGCTCATTTTATGCTTAGTTAATTTGTTCCCTAGCTATGTAACATTGGCTGTTTCTGCAGATAGGATATTGGCCCGCAATAATCAAATCAAAGGTCTTGATAGCCCTGATATTGCAGAAAAGGGGCTGTTTTATTGAATGGAAGGAAGATATTATTAAGGCTGTATCCAGCATTTGAGTGGTCACAGTAATATTCTGGCATGTTCTTCAGGTCCCACTTGAGTCATGATTTAGTGTAAATGTTTGCAACAATTTTAGAGTTACAGCTCAAATAACGTTTTTATTAAAAGTGTAAGAATAATAACTGGTGTACATTCTTTCTGTTTTTGGGTGTCAAAATGTAGTATCTTTACTTAAAAATAGGATCACAGGAGATATTTCCTGTTGTGTAAAATTCCTGTCCCAGCCCATGCAAAGGTCTGTGCCACTGGGTGGCCTCTGGCTTTGCAGCTCCACTTCATCATTTGCATCGGTGCTGACACAGGCAGCAGCCACACAAAGAAAAGTTCTCCAGGCAGGGAGACCTCAGTGGGAGCTGAATCAGGCCTTATCCACACAGAGGAACCGTCTGGTCATTTTCTCAAGCAAAATCCCAAAGCAGAACACCTCAGTTTACACATTTGTTAAAATCAGTATGGGCTTACCAAAGTGTTGCTGTTTTGTTTTATTTTATTTTATTTTATTTTATTTTATTTTATTTTATTTTATTTTATTTTATTTTATTTTATTTTATTTTATTTTATTTTATTTTATTACATGTCCACTCAGGCTATTGATTTTAAATGAGAAAAGGCTTATTGTCCAGCTTTTACTTATCTTTTAGTAAAAGTCACATACATAGTCTGATGGATGAGCCCATCAGTATTGGACGCTATCAAACAGATGGTACTTTTGCTAACCAATAGGTATAAATTCCAACACCCCCCCCCCCCCCTTTTTTGCATGAATTTCTTCTTTCTGATGACCATTTAAGTTACTTCCCAGAAAACAGCTGTGGCAGCACAGAAAACAGAACTCTTTGAGAGCTCATCTGGGGCACTCAGGCTGATTTCACAATGGAGATACTTTAACAAACACTGGGAATTGTTTTGATCATGTAAGAATGACAAATGCACCATTTTGTGAGGGATTTAAGAACTCTTTTTCTCTCTTTTTTTTTTTTTTTTTTTTTTGATTTATCAAACACGATTGGAAAATGATCTGCAGGTATGAACAAGAGTTAGCAGTGAGGATGTGTAAGGCAAAGAAGGAAAATAGAAAAAGGATGCTATTATTGGAAGCTGGAGCTAAAGCAGCTGGAAATCAGGGACAAGGCTTTTTAAAATTATTTTTTAACGAACAATTAAACATGAACAAGTCAGAAACAAGTTGGGTTCTTTCTTACAATTATATATTACTCTAAGCTTTAAAATAAAAAAAAGTCTTTTGTAAAGATACACTTCAACAATACTATTGCTCTTGAAAGTGATGTGGAATTCATCAAATTGGTGTGCTAATTCGTGCGCAGCACTGCATCTGGCTGGATGAAGCAATACACTGTTCAGATCAAAAAGCATGCATTTATACTCAGTGCTATCCATAGATATTTTCTGAATAGTCAGAAACAGAAATATTTTCATTTTGAGTGAAGTACAGACTGCTATTTGTTGCTGAAGAGTTTCTAGAGTTGATAGCATGGATATTTTGAGGACACCCTCTCTCTTTATAAGAAAATGACTGCATTCCATTAACAGAACAGAACATTTGATTTTACCAGTCATAAGAATTCTCCTGCAAGTAGCTGAGCATTCGTGTGCTTATAATGTGCTTTCCTGTTGCTTCTCTGTGGGATCCTCCACTCTCTTCTGTTTTTATAGGGTATTTTTGAATATCTCAACCCAAGCTAACTGAAACACGTTTTTTAAAAAATGGAAATAAGGAAGATACAAGAGGCCATCTACATTTCTGATTTCACATTGTTGTCTGTTCTCTTCATTTCTGATTTCACATTGTTGTCTGTTCTCTTCTCAAGCTTTAGAGAAAAAGGTTCCATTGTCAGCCTGGGTATTCAGCTCCAGTGTTTTTCACAGCTGGGGAATGCTTCTTTACTTCTAGCCTAAACTGTGCTTGCTACAAATTAATCTGATTACTGTTTCTGCCACCCAAGTAAATATTGATAAACATTGATTATTTTTGGTTTGTTTTTTAGAGATCACATCCAATATATATATAAAGTATTATATCTTGCCAAACTACTCATTACAGTTATTGTATCATTTCTTTTTGCTAACTTTATTCTTAACTAACATTCATCTGTACTCATGCAATTCCTTATTCTTGTCCATATCTGGACTTACGGAAGTTTACACACACAAAATAATAGTTTGGTGCCTAAAACTGGATAGCAGAGTTCACCTGAGGCTTCCTAAAGGCTTCCTGTATTTTGCATTTGCTTGCTTATAATATGAAATTTGTACATTTTATTTTATTTTATTTTATTTTATTTTATTTTATTTTATTTTATTTTATTTTATTTTATTTTATTTTATTTTTGTGGCAGGTAGACTTTGAGGACCTAACCTGGTAAGGTAGCTGTCAGATCAAGCAGAAATTTTTCAGCACTTTTCCCGTCAGTAAACTGATAAATCCATGTTTGGTTTATGCTCAGTCTGTGTTCTAATTCAAGGACAACTGCCTCACTGTTTTATTAAAGATTTTTATACATTTTTGAATGCAGCAGCAGAAGGAGTTCACTCCTCCAGCTGCCACAGCTTGACACAAGTTCCATTTGAATTAACCTTTTTTTTTTTTTTTTTTTTTTTTTCTTATTGGTAAGAGGTTCACAACTGTTTACATGTGGTAAAAATGCTCTGAAATAACACTGATGGAGATTAATGCCAGCAGGAAGCACATTCAAGGAAGTGGCAACTTAAATTCTAGTGATAAATAAACAAGCAAAAGGAAGCAAAATAAGGCAGCCCAAAAAGGATCCTGACGAGCTCAGCTTTATAGGGCTTACTCTTCTTTTATAGTCCTTTTTGTGAGTCTCTATCACAAGTACAACTTCACCAGCCATATCAAAGTTCAGTCATGGGCTTTTGTAGCTATACGAAGGCAGCAGATAAGTCAAGAGCTGCAGTGGTGGCTCTCAGTTCCCACCCCACCTGCAGTCCTACCTGTGGTTGTTGGATAACACCAGCTGCAAAAACATTTAAATGAAAACAGACAGTGGTGTAGTAGCTACAGCTATTCCTACATATATAAAAAGCTCTTTTGATTTTACATCTTCTGTAGGATATATATACTTGTGGCTAATGTACTGCTCCTCCATGCCTTTGCAATTCAGCATAGTTCAGTCACTCCTCTGGCCTCAGGTTTCAACCTGTAAATGTGAGTAGCTTTGCTGGTCCCCACTATCAGGAAGTCTTTCTACAGATGTTTAATATCCAATTACTCAAAGGTCAATAAAATATGAATTAATAAAGTAGATAATTAATTTATGCTTTTAGAATCTGTCATTCTAAAGAAGTCCAATATTTAAGAAAGAAACAGTTTATTTTTAAACTCATTATGTTTGTTATGGCTTTGATTTGAATTAATACATTTCTCTTATATTTTGTTTGGAAAATATATTCAAGGACATTTATACCAAATCATGGGTTGAAAAACTTGACAGAGGGATATTTTGCCAGCACAACTTTAAAACTTCCCTAAACTTTACCTTTACACTTTGGTTGAACTTGCCTGTTCCAGTGATATTAAACACAGTTAAGTGATACTAAACATCTGACTGTCAGCAGAGGTTTGCTCTTCTCATTAATCTTGTTGCATGCTAGACTGTTGAACTAAGTTTTAAATGTGCTGCCAGTTTTTACCATCAGTTGAATACTCCAATCATCTTTTAAGATGTTTATAAGCTAAAAGCTGGATTTCATCTTGCTGGAATTAAGGTTAAAATGCACAATATGTTAACAAAAGACCCTTCTGAATTCAGCAAGGATTTCAAGTAACGTAGCAAGTCCCTGAAGTGCAGAGGTTCTGAATCAGATATTCTGAATTTTGAATCAGATAATACTGTGCGTACTCCAACACTGTCACGTCATGTATTTAATAATATTCAATTTTCTTTCATACTGACTTTTAGGGATTATTAATTTTATACAGATGGAAATTTTGAAACTAGATGTGTGAAAATTAGGGTTGAATTTGTTGATTTTCTCAGGTATCTTACATACCTGTTGTAGCTTTGTTACTATATAACATATTATCCAGGTCAAGTTGAAGGATGTGGGGAATATGTTCTTAGCTCTTTGCTAGGTACTCTTTATATATTTATTTTTTGTACCATGTGTATACAGTACCAATGACTCCATCTCTTGTTAATTGAAGCAAATGGCATTTTGCAAAGGTTTTATGAAAGATTCCTTCTTAATAAATCAAGGAAGAAAACTACTGATTCTACAGATACATTTTTTTTTAACTTTAAAATTATTCAGAAATATTTTCCTACATCACAAGAACCACTTTTGTATTGAATATATGTAAGAAATACCATACTTCTCTCACTTAGTATTCTATTCCGGATGATGGTCAGGAGAAAATACTTAGAAAAGGAATATAGCAAAAATACTGTATATAAAGTAATCCTTCTGTAACACGTTTTTTTTACCTTATGATATTCCACAGCTTGTAGACATCTTAAGCTGGAGGTTGCATCTGAACTATTTTGTTAAACAACCCTTGTTGGACTTGCACTGAATGTATTACCTAGTCCTTTTGGCATTAATTTATACTTTTGGTCTTCCTTGATGTATAATTCCATGCTTAATAATGCAGCTCTGTTAAGGGTAGAATCCCTATATTGCATTTTCAGTCTGAGATGAAGAGAGGTTTTTCTTCTCTGCTGGCATCTGTTCCGTTATAGTCTTTTATAAATATCGAGAGACATTTTCTTGTTGCTATGGTCCTGGTGGAAGTAATATATAGCTGAAGGGAACAATTTTCTTGTTTTTGTTGTAGAGTTGCTCAAAATGGATGCTTGAAAAAAACCTCTTTAGATAATAGTTAGCTAAGACGACTTCACTCCATGCTGTATTTGTCTACACACTTATTGCACCATGGACTAGTTATTTTCTTTGCCTCTGATGTAGTTCAGTGGGATAAACTTGCAGATGCTTTGTCAAATCTGGTTTGCCTTCTTCCTTTTATTCTGTTATCTCTCTTTCTCCAGCTGTATGCCCATACCAACTTGGCAGTTCATTTTCCACAGTCCACCACAGCTTTTATATTCAAGTGACTTCTACCTTACCATTATCTCTTCCATGCACGGTTATCAAAATTATAGTGGCTTCATGAATACTCCTAAAGAAGAGATCAAAAATATAGGAAATGTGATAAAACAATGTGCTCTGTTAGGAGCATATCTAACCCAGAACATTAGCATTTATTCGACAGCTGTTTATTCTACACTATGTGGGCAGTCTTGCCCTTTTTGCCATTTAAAAGTAGCAATCTCATGTTATTACGGAGAACACCATTATCCTTCTGATTCTCTGTGGCAATTTCAATCTGTGTGTCTTATTTCAGCAGTGCTGCCAGTTCCAGAATGTTTTTTTTTTTCTTTCTTTCTTTTTCTTCTCCAAAAATCAGCATATTAGTTTTGCAGCCAAACTGCTTCTTGAGGAATTCCTAAAAGTTGGTTTTTGTTTCATGAATGTTCCTCATGTACATGAACGTACCTTGACTTCAGCCAATGCTATCAAAAAACAGTTTGCCAATTCTTTGTAAAAAAAGGAGTTAAAAGCCACAAAGCCTTAGAAAAACAATAACCTCTATTTTCTTAGGTTGTGCTGATTGCCCGTCATGGTATGAGCTACATGCAATTGCTATAGTTGTTATTTTGAGAAACTTTAATCTGTCCTTCAGTGGTTCTCTATAACCACATTTTGAACAAAGTAACCACAGCCTCTCACTTTCTTTCTAAAGAATTAAAATGAACTACTGAAAAGTTACGATGGAATCATAGCAAGGAAGACCTCAGAACTATTCTGTACTTTCCATTCAGTTTCACTCAGACATCCCATTTGATTCCTCCTATTTTTCAACTTAACCAGTAAATTTCTGCTGACCAGTTCCCAGATGCCTGGAGATGTTGCCTGCAACTGTGAACTGAGCATCTACCTTACAAAGCACGTCAAGGCAATCCTTTTTATCACTTTGCCTTGCAAAACTCTCCTGCTTCATTTCATTCATTGACATGCAGCACACTTTCCACTGAACATTTGATTTCCTCTAGATTGCCAGCTATCTTTCTTTGTTTCCAACACTTTTCAGTGGGATCTTCTCAAAGTCTTTCCAAGTCCACCTATTAAAATAGCCTTTGTTTTATTTTTCCCTTTCTTGCTCCTGGTGATGCAAGACCTTTCTCCTTTGTAGTTCTTTTTGCCTGGATTATATGTAGCACACCTCTCATCTCGTTCATCTCGTTTTTTTTTTTTTTTTTTTTTTTTTTTTTCCCATCTACCAGAATATTTACTATTTGTTTCAGTAAAGTAAATGAATAATTCCCTAAAGTCAATTCAGTGAAAGGCCATATTCAAAGGAAGCTTTATAAAAGGTGTGCCTACCTAAGGCACCTGGGCATTCTGTTGACTGCTGTGAGGTCCTAGATGACATTAATGCAGATTTGAGACATCTTGTGTAATTAACCCAAGTTCACTTGGTGCTGAACCTGTCTGTGACTGCTCACACAGTCATGACAGAATTTTGGCACTGGTGACTTCTAGTAAGGGGCAGTATTGAATGAACAGATGTGACAAAGTCTCACTATGTCATACCTAGATTTGCAAATATGTATCTGTTTGTGCCTTGAAGTTTTATCGCTAATTTGGTTGCAAGCCTTCATAGATAGTTGCTTTCATTTTCAATTGCCTAAAAGCTTTGATAAATCTGACTCAAAATTCTTAACTAGTATGAGATAACATGCACATAGCAAACCAATGGAAGATAATTTTTCTTTTAGCTATACTTAAAGCTTGCTAGTTGCAGGACACAAGATTGAATATACATACATTAGTGATTACATGAAGAAGCCCCAAATAGAGTAAATCAGATGTAGGAAAACATATTAAAATAAAAATATCAAAGGGAAAATACTCCTTGCTGGGTCTCCTTTTTTAGGTCATCTAATCACTGGTAACAGTTATTAACCTGTATCAATCCCAGCTCTTCTGGCTACTTAACTGAGTCAACGCCAATGCACTGTGTAGGCTGTGTGCGCAAGTCTCTCAAGTTGCTGTCCATCAGTTACGTAAGGCTGATAATGTTATTACTGTATTCTGTGGAGAGTCTGAAAATCCAGCATTACCATAACATTGGTATTTTGCCATTGCAAAATTGCTGGAGACCTGCAAATTTAAATCAAGTCCTTGAACTTTAATAAGACTAGATACTCCGTTTTCCTTTACCATGCTTCTTAACTGGTTAATAGTGAACACAGATGGGCATCTCAAGTAAGCTAGGAACTCTGTTCATGAAGGGACTGTAGCACAAATACATGTACAGGGTTAGCTAAGGCAGGAGCAGACAAACAGAACTAGAACAGGAAAAGGCCAGAGAAAATCCATCTGAGATAATTTATCATTTCAGGTGCAACCTTTCCCATTGTTCTGACTTCCTTAAAATAACTGCTTCTTGTTTAGTATTCTGGATCACCTTTACACCAGTTTGTACAAGAAGGGCACAGATGTGTATTTCTGAGCAAGCCAGGTCAGCTCTAATTCCTTCCCTGGTTCCCCCGCTGTTGCTTATGGGCTGTAATTTCTGGTTGCCCTCTGCTCCAGCAGCAGGCTCCTGCCCTTGCTGCCCCACATCACCTGGTGCAGCTGTGCGGAGCTGATGCTGCTTTGGCTCAGCTGCTGCCTACTCTCCTGCACGGGAGGAGAGGCACGGGGCTCTGCTGCTGCCTTCTCTGAGCCTTGCCCACAGAAGCTGAAGGGATGAAAATGTCTTCATGAGTGTTTCTTTGTTCACATTTCCAAAATAGCAGCATATATTTAAAAAAGTATTTATTTTATTTATTATTATTATCATATTTTTAATTTAATAGTTGGTTTCTCTCTCTTTAGGGGTGTGCAGAACACTTGATTGGGCTACCTCCTTGTTTTTTTTTTTTTTTTTTTTTTTTTTAATGCCATATCTATCCCTTTTTATGTGGTTCCTGCTGCTTCTTTCATTTTTGAAGACAAGATTTTATCCTCCAATGTCATCTTTGGTGGTTTGCTGTATCAGTATAAGCCTTTAGGGAGGAGGCTACTTTATCTCTTTATCTGTCGTCTGGCTAAGGCTTGCCAGGTGTTTCTGCTGTAGGAATTCCTATCGTTCTAGCAGTGTGGGCCCACAAGGGCTGTTCCTGTTTTTTTTTTGTTTTTTTTTTTTTTGTGGAGTTCCAGTGAAGTCAGCAGGTGAATCTCCACTCGCAGTGGTATTGTTTGGGCAGCTTGTTCCTCCTGGAAGGATACTATCTGCTGATAATACTTCTCTCCAGTAACTCAAAACAAAAGCTACGTATTTTCTCGTGAGGGGGAGAGAACAGCTTACACATGCTATTTTTTTTTTTCATTGTAACATTGGACAACAAGAGCAGGGAATATTTTATGAGAAAAAATAGGCCCTTAAAATTCCCCTCTCTCCTTGGAGGTTTATGTGGTTTCTATAAATACTTCTGTTCTTTGCATTGCTTCAGAGGTCTGGAAGTTACGAGGCAAGGAAGAGCCCAGATCAGTGTGAGAGTTCTCATCAGTTATTCCTTGGAGGGATATTTATATTTTTTCTTCCAAACTTTAGTAGGACTCCATGCACAACAGCAGTGGAAAGTTTGGAAGTTTCTAAGTGGTTCCTCAGTGAAGTTTCAAAAATACTACAGCGTTCCTTAACCAAATAAATGCTTTGCAGTTTCTGAAAAAAAAAACAAAAAAAAAAAAAACAAAAAAAAAAAAACAAAAACAACACAGCACAATTGTCTGCATCTCTTCACTGTTGCCTTATGATGCTGTTTGAAAATTATAAGAGATATTGCTCATCCAGTGACTATTTTTTGGACACTGCTAGCAAAGAACGTGGGACTGACTATTATTTGTCTGAGTCAGGAATAAGTCCCTGAAAGTCAGTGAAATAACACCAGTTTAAAACTGTGTGTGCATTAAAAGCAGAGAAGTAAATGAAATGTACTATTTAATTATCCACCTGAAATCAACATGTAACAGATGCATCTCAAATTGGTTTATGACTCCCATAGGGGATATTTTAAATCTTGAGCAGAAAAAAAGTTTCCTGGAGAAAGAAATCAAATTAAAAATTTCTGAGGAGCATTGGGGTTGTTTCAAATCAGTGAGCTTCTTCTATTTTTTTCTGCAAGATCCTGAATACTTAACAATATTACACACATTTCTGCCAGTTGCATCAGATGGTAACCTATCATCTGTGTGACATTATTGTTACAGATTTGTTATACCTTTGTAACGCTGAGCACAGATAAAGCTGTCCAATTAAAGCCATACTGAGATATGCAGCTGCTACTTTATGCTCCTTTCAGTCAGCATCTTGAGGACCCTTGTTCTCAGGGGTCCAGCCCAGCCCAGTGGCTGGCTGCAACGGCAGCAGCTGGCAGAGCTCCGGCACGGTTACTGCCACTTGGCACACGCCTCTTGCCTGGCTTCTGGTGTAGCTTTTGCTCTGATTGAAACAATCACAGTTGTTGAGAGAAGTCTGCGGTATATTTGATTATTTGGCTGCTGCTTGAGAAACAAAGATTGTTGCTGATTCACCAAGTGAGACAGGTGCTATTTACAAAGTACAGGAGGTGCATTGCTAACTTGGGGCTGTGCTGAGCAGGCGAGGAAATCCTCCCCTTCGCCCTCTCCAAAACCCAGCCTTGGCTGTACAACCGGGTGCTTAGGTCTGCACTTGAAAACAGCTCTGGCAGCCTGCTGTGTGGCTGGCGTACCTTTTAGTCCTCAGCCCTTTTGCTGTTTACGTGTACTTTATTGTCTTGCTGGCAGACATGCAGAGTTCAGCATCAGATTTTGACACGGGCATGCTGCTATCCCGAAGGATTTGCTGAACGGGCTGTCTTGCAGCTGCTGCATTTCCCACCAGTTAAATTGACAGCTACCTACTGTGTGGAGTTGCTAGGAGAAGGTGAACAGTCATCATTACAGCATACTCCTTCAATAACAACCTGTAGAGCTCTCTGATTTCTCTTCTGCAGGGATTTATACTTGTCTTCACTGCCGACTTAGCATTTGTTCGGTCATTTTCTTCTCGAGAGGCTGGTAGATATTTATTCCTTAAGAATCAATTCA